AAGGCCCTCTATGAGGTGGATTGATTCAGTGACTGGGATAATTGGGATGGGAGTGTCAGATTCAGTGTGATTGGCACAGGACAGAGCGGAGTTTAGGGTTGTTGTACATAGGGTCGCTATGAGTCACAGGCGACTCGACGGCACATAACAACAACAACAACAACAAAACCCCATTTTTCTTCACCTTTTTATCTCTGGCATAGTAGATCACCTGATCGTCTGATTCAAAATGTCCCATGTGAATCCATCTCATTTTGTTAATACCTAGTATGTCGATATTTATGCATTCCATTTCTTTCTTAATAATATCCAAACTTCCTAATTTCATACTCCACGTTCCATTTACTAGTGTCTGCTTACAACTGTTCCTCCTCCTTTTTGTTTCCATATTTGAAGGCTCAGCCTCTGTTGCCATATCTGCTAGTCTAAGTGTGCACTATTAGATAGATCTTGGCTGAAAGCAGAGAGTGCAGTACCAGAGGAATGTCTATCTATGTTTTATTGACTATGCAAAGGCATTTGAATATGTGGATCACAACAAACTGTGGCTAATAATGTAAAGAATGGGAATCCCAGAAGACTTGATTGTGGTCTTACAAAACCTATACCAAGCTCAGAAAGCTATTTTATGACAAGAGCAAATAATCACTGTATGGTTCATAATCAGAAAGGATATACACCAGGGATGTGTCTATCTCCATATCTTTTGAATCTATATGCAGAACAGATCATCTGGGAGCCTGGACTCTATGAGGAAGAATGTGGCATCAGGATTGGAGGAAGACTCATCAACCTATTTTATGGAGATGACAGAACCTTGCTTGCTCCAACTGAAGAGGACCTGAAGCACTTGCTGCAGAAGGTCAAGGACTGCAGCCTTAAATATGGATTGAAGTTCAACATCAAGAAAACAAAGCATCATGATAGATGGTGAAGAAATTGAAATTGTACACAGCTTTGGTTTGCCTGACTCCACAATCAACCCTCTTGATAACAGCAGCCAGGAAATCAAAAGATGAGTTGCACTGGAAAAGTCAGGGACATCTTCAGAGTACTGAAGAGCAACGATGTCAGTCGGAGACTAAGGGGCACCTGATCCAGGCCACAGTCTTCCCAATTCCTTGCTATGTATCAAAAAGCTGGACAATGAGTAGGGATGATGGAAACACAACTGATTAGGGATGATGGGAGGACAATTGATGCCTTTGAGCTGTGATGCTGGAGAAGAGTATTGAATATACCATTGACGGCTAGGAGAACAAACAGGTTTGTCCTAGAGAGGTGAAACCAGGCTGCTCCTTGGAATCAAGGATTCTGAAGCTTTGTCTGCCATACTTTGGGCATGTTGCAAGGAGGGACCAGTCCTTGGAGGGGATATTATGCAGGGGCGATGTAGAGACAGTGTAAGAGAAGAAGACCCTGGATGAGATGGATTGATTTAGTAATGGCTAAGTAAGGAGGGTAGGTGTGTCAGAGACAATAAGATTGGCTCAGGATAGAGCAGGGGTCAGAAGCAACTCCATGACACATAACAACAAGGAAGCTGTGGCAATCTTATTTTCTACTGTCACATATTTGCTTTTCCAGCTTTTGGTGGCCATATGACATGGTTCTGAACAAGAATGAGGAAGTTTTGCTAAAATCAAAGAGAACATGCCCTGTCCTCCCACATTATCCATATCCTTTTCATTCCTAGGGAAGATGTATTATCTATAGATGTAACGTTTATAGTTAAAGAAGTCATCCTGCAATCAGGAGGAAGAGGCCAAGAGGTGCCAGAGACACTAATGCACACCCCTGGCATTGCTAAGTTACTGGAAGACTCCTAGAGCTGCCAATCAGCTTTTAGTTGTTAATGCTCCTGTTTGCTGAGTATTTTGTCACTAGCAAACAAATTCATTCTGATACACATAGAGATTTCTTATTTTCCCAGGTTCACATTACCTATACTTTCCTACTTTCTATTAAACCAAAAATAATGTATTGACTTTTGACTCCAGCTTTTCACTTTAAATGTCAAAAAGTTCCTAAATTCTCAGGATGTTTTCAAATTGATTTTCATTGGATGACTTTGTAACTGACAGTTTTGCTAAATGCCTCTATTAGCTCTAATTCTCTTACGCACTCTGGGGTTTTATGTAGGATCATACCATCCATTAATAGACATAATTTCACTTTTTTTCTTTCCCAATAAGAATACTTTTACTTAATGTCCTTAAATTATTATTTCTAACCTAGTATTAAATAAATATGTGAGAAAACAAAAAACCTTTTCTTATTAATAACTTACTTCCTTAAGCGAAACTCATTTACAGCTGGGACAGTAACTTATACCTACTTCTAAAGTAAGACTTAAGGTTACTAATGGCAAACACTTGACATTTTGCCCCTTTTAATTTTAAATATTGCTGTTGTTGATTGCCATCGAGTCGAGCACGACTCATAGTGATCCTATGAACGAAAGGCCTGAAGCTTTTCTATAACTATCACCATTTATCAAAGTTCAGAGTTTCCAGAGGCATGTTGTTTAGGAAGTGGATGCCACTCCTGCTTCCAATGGCTGAAATGGCAAATGTTTTATTAATGTTAAACAGAAATTAGAAATTTAAAATAAAAGAGTATCCACTTCAAGGAACTATTTTCCTGTTAGAAACTTTTAGTGGATTTCTGAGGCTGTAAATCTTGACGGGAGAAGAGTGCTACCCTTTCTCCTGCAGCATTACTGGTAGATTCAAACTGCCAACTTTCTGGTTAGCAGCCTGATATGTTCACACACTATACAACCACTAAGGTGCCTTAAGTGAGAAAAAGGAAGCCTTCACGTTTTATGAAAGAAATAAAATCTCTGGAGTTAAGGCTAAGATTGAGACCTCAACTCCAACTCTGTGGGTGCTAATTTTTTTTATCTTAAGATCTAAGTGAAATAAGCATAATGATTAATATAAAGTAGAAATGACTCATTACTGCTGTATTTTAGTGGTTAAGAAGACTAATGGCTGTTTTAGGTTGCTGTAATATAATAATCCACTTCCGTAAATGGCTTGCCTCCGGAAACCCCATGAACCTGGAGAAAGGATGAAAGTCACGCAAGTGTTGAGGACTTTCGTTCATAGGGCCACTATGACTCTACGACATTTAACAACATAGAGAAAGACCAGTTGGCCTAGTGGACAGAAAGTGATGCTACCAAGCCAAAGGTGGGTGACTCTAATCTGCGGTCCTCGGGCCTGTTTTTAATTGCTTTTGGTCAAACATTCTTCTAGGTCGTATAGGCCTGGTGTGTCCACTTGCTGTACACTGTTTAGCTGTGAAGCTAAACATTGTGACACTGATGTGTCAAATGTGATAATGATTACCCTCGGAGGACAGTGTTTGGTGGAGTTCCCCGATTAAAACAAGCTAGGAAGCAAGAGTGGCATCCACTTCTGTAAACAGCTTGCCCCCGGAAACACTATGAACCTGGAGAAAGGATGAAAGTCACACAAGTATTGAGGACTTTCCTTCAAAGGGTTGCTATGAGTCATCTACGACTCCAGCGCACTTAACAACAATAAGTAAAGAAATATCTAATGTAATTCATGGAAAGGAATAGCCAGGGAGTTACTTCTTCTCTCTCAGGAGATCATATGGTGAATTTATTCTTTTTCGTTTGTGTATCTGCCTCTTTCCCCCTCCCCTCTGCAAATAAGACTTCCTTGTATCCACATGCATAAGGTAAAAAAATAAGTCTTCATTTTCCAATTTCAGTATCTATATCATCTACCATAATAACCAGTTATTTCTGTGTCTTTATTACAAATTCCTAGTGTAGAAAATATTATTGGCTTAGCTTCAGATACCCATTCTTTGTACCTATAGAAGATATAGCTGGGGTAGACACAAACCCAATAATTTACAAATTATTTTGTAAATGTTTACCTTCCTAAAGTTTCTTCAGCCAAAGAAGACCCTCTGAATCACTCCATAGGATGAAAATGATTATAATATTATCATGAGATTATCAATGACTCACGATTATCCTTTTTTATAAGACAGTTTCTGACTATAGCATGTTCTTAAGTACAGACTGCCTTTTCTGAAAGATGACTTACATTTTATTTCATAAAGGATAATTGTCTACTCACCACATTATTTTGTCACTGGAAAGGCAAAAATGACCTCTCAAGGCAGCTAATGTAGCATGGGTGGAATACAGATGGAAACCAATGGCAGTTCCACAGGAATTACAGGATAAAAGGTTGTAAATGCTAGGAGGGAAAAAACCCAAAAGATAAGTAAAAAGGAAATGAGATAAATGAAAGAAAATTTAAAAAACAGATTCTGGAATTACTCCTGAGAACTCAGTGTCCAGGAATAACAAAGTCATGAAATCCCCAGGCCCAGGTCAAGGACACTAGTGTCTGGCAAAAGAAGCCATTCAACCTTGAAGGAAGATGGAATTCACCTCCAGCTGAAGCTTATCCAGGACTAAAGACCAAATTTATAAGAGCAGCTAAGAGGGGAGCTCTGGTGGCCTAGTGGCAAGAAGCTGCACTGCAATCCCACAGGTACACAGTTCAAATCCACCAGATGCTCTGCTGGAGAAGGAGGGACAATCTCCTCCTGTACCAGTCAGATCCGATTTGACGGTACACACACACACACACACACACAGAATAATTTTAAAAAAGCAGCTAAGATAATTTTTTTTTTTTTTAATTTTGTGTGCGTGTACCGTCAAATCAGATCTGACTGGTACAGGAGGATATTACGCCTCCTTCTCTGGCAGAGCATCTGGTGGATTCGAACCGTGTTCCTCTGGGATTGCAGTGCAGCTTCTTGCCACTAGGCCACCAGAGCTCCCCTAAGATAATTTTTTTTAAACTACTATCTCTGGGACCAGAATCTACAGATTATAGCTTTTGCATAAATCTTTTAAACCCTATATTCACTCACCCTTGGCAAAGGTGCCATTCAGAACAAGGAGAAATTCTGCTCCACACTTCTGTTTAAGTGAAGAAACTTTTTTTTAAACTCTGACTAGGGGTGCTGTGCATCATGCCAGGCACAAGGCTGCATTTCGGTGACTCCTATCATCTAAGACATAGTTCACTAAACAAAGCCCGTTGCATTATTTTCTAAGGGGAATGATACTGAAGAAATGTTATCTGCAAGAAAGGGTAACTCAGATGTTAATATCATTCTACCTTAGATTATAGATACTCTTGTACATTTTGGCCACAAAAGCAGTCACAGATGTACAAAGTCACTTCAGAAAAAGTCATTTACTCCTGAAAAGCAGAAAATCCATTAACTAGTCAGACTATAGGGAAATCTGGTGGCAGATGCAGTAAAGTGTTCTAACCCAGAGGCCAGGCTTCTCTGAGTGGTTTTAATTCATCAGCAGCTTCAAGAAAAAGGAACGGTTTCTTCAGGTTGCAATTTATAGCCTTGGAAATGTGCTGGAGAGTCAACTCTGAGTGAGAATGAAATTGACAGCACTGAGGTTTTAAGTTTAATCAGAATATCATTTAAACATACAAATCATATTAACTCCATTAGACTATCATTTCCAGCTGAAAAAAATTACATTAATTCGAGGACTATTAAGCAATTTATTAACAGAACACAAAGATTTTGCTAATGTAAATATTTTTAAGTTCGCTTAAAAAGTTAAATACAAATGGAAGCAATCTTGTTTTATTAGCAATCTGAAATTGACTATTTTTTCAATTTTATATTGGTTTGCATACAAAGTTCGTATACATTGTTTCATACTATCCTTCAACCATTCTCATTGTTTTATAAAAGCAATCACCATTAAACCTTGCCCTTCATTACCTTGTCTTTCCAGATCCCTGCCTGATCTTTCCCATTTCCTTTACCCCCTCTACCCACCAAATTGTGCAACCCTATGATATCCCCCTCTGCCCACCCTCCCCCTCTGCTTTCACCACTTTACCCCTCTTGGGTCCATACATGTTTTACTAGTTATCCTTCTGTTTAAATAATAATAATGGCCCTATACAGTAGGTGCACCATTTTACATTCTCAGTGTATTGGAATAGAATGGAAATTACTCAGTATGACTCTGGACTTACATGAAAATTCAACATCCAACATTATACTTAATGGAGAAAGACTAGGAGCTTTTTACTCAAAATAAAAAAAAAACTAGATAAGGGTGCTGCCCCTCTTGTCATTTTTATAAAATATTATACAGGAAGTTTTAGCCAGAAGAATAACATAAGAAAAATAAATAAAAGGCAATCAGAATGGAAAATATATAAAATTATCTCTATTCACAAATTATAAAATCCTTTGTATAGACAATCCCAGAAAGTCTGCAATTAAACATCTAGAGCTAATAAAAGGACTTAGCAAATGGTAAGATACAAAGTTAACAAAAGTCAACTGAGTTTCTATACACTGTTGTGATGTACCATGAAGTTGGAACTGACTCATAGCTGACCCTCCAAGCAGGTTTTCAGAGGTAGTACATCACACAGGAGGAGCTTCTCCATCCCTCTCCCTCAAAGCATCTGGTAGATTTGAACCACATGCCTTTCAGATCACAGTGCAGTTTCTTACCACAAAGCCACTAGATTCCGGTTCCCTAGAGCAGCAGTACCAACTCAGTGTCCTAGCTCAGATCTCTAGTTTTCTACTGCAGCAGCTGCTGCTCTCCTATAGGTCTGGCTGACCCCAAGCCCTCTGGCAAAAGTTCTCATGCCACATTCTATGCTGCTGCTTCTTTGCTGGTAGTGAGATTCACAGATTTCTGCTGCTGACCTTGTTCAATTTAAACTTGGTAGAATGGCAAAACTAGCCAATCCCTTACTGGATAGACTGACATGTGCTAGCTGCATGTTCCTGTCAAGCCAAATGACAAAGTTGAGGGGCAATGGCTTAGGAAAGTTATTTTGAGCAACAGATCCACTACTTGACAGTGTGCCTGACATAAGCCATGGTGCCTTTAGCTGTGCCATTTCAGAGCTCTCTTTACAACTCTTGAGATACTTTGTATTCTACAGACACTTAGCTCTTTTGCTTTGGTGTTCTACAAATCAGGTAGATAACTTTCTTCAAAAGGAATACAATGTGAATGATAAGTAAACCTAAAAGGCACTCTGGTGGCTTATACAGACTGATAACTGTGACTGGAAATGGGCTCAAGTGTGTCAGGGATGATGGGAATAGCACAGAATAAAAAGTTCAGATCTGTTATTCATAGGGTCACCACCTAACAAGAACTGGTGGCTTAGTGATTGCACCGTCAACCCAAAGGTTCATGATTTACTGACTCTGAAAACCTGACAGATGATCAGCTAAAAGTCATGACTCGACACACGTGTAATTTTTATTTTTTAAAAGTAAAAAATGGTGAGCTCTGGTGGCCTAGTGGCAAGAAGCTGCAACTGCAGTCTCAGAGGTGCACGGTTCAAACCCACCTGATGCTCTGCTGGAGAAGGAGGAACAATCTCCTCCTCTACCAGGCAGATCTGATTTGACATACACACAAAAAATAATGAAATAATTTTTTTTTTAAAAAAGCAAAAAAATGTTGTAGTTATTGTTAAGTACAACTCACAGTGACCCTACGAACAACTGATCTGAACTCTTTCCTATCCTGTGCCATCCTCACAATCTCTGACACACTCAAGCCCCAACTGCTGCTGAACCTACACCTTTCTCCTTCACCCTCCCTCTCCACCTTCACAAGCATGATGCCCTTTTCCAAGGAATAACCTCTTCTAGCAAAATGCCCAAAGTAGGTGAGGTGTATCTTCATCAACTTTGCCTCCAACGCGCACTCTGGCCATACTTTCTCCCTGACACATTTGTGTATTCTTCTGGCAGTCCATGGGATAGTAAGTACTCCAACACCACAGTTCAAAGGCATCAATTCTTCCATTATTCTTAGTCATTATCGAACTCTCAGATGCACGGCAAATGACTGAAAAGACCATGGCCTGATTAAGTGCACCTTAGTCCTCAAACTGCCATCACTGCTCCTCAAAAATTTGGAGAGGTCCCTAACTAGACTTTCCCAGTGCAATACTTTTCCTGGGCTCCTGATTGCTGGTACTAAATGTATTGACTGTGGATCCAAGTAAAAAGAAATAGGTAGAATTAATTTTATTTATTTATTTTTTACTCAATAAAGCGCCCAAGAGACACAGTAGACGAGCAGCACTTGCATATATCACCAGGAATATTTGGCCCTCAAATCTTAAAAACTGCATATAGACATACCTTTTTCGTTTAATTGACATTCTTTTCGTACGAGATTCAAATCGGTAAAAAGAACATTCTTCTTTGTATGTATGGCATACAATGTATGGCATATTGTATCGATGAAATTCTTTCTCTAGCACAAAATAAGGACCAGCTTTTTTCCTTGGCCATGTCAGATGTACATTCTCATTTAGTGGGAAACTAGGCAGCCAGGCAAGATTCCTTGCACTTACCTGCCTTTGAGTGGATCGTCAACGCCAACCAATAAGGGAACTTCCAAATCAACGTTATTTGTGACTTCTAGAAAAACAAAAACATTGGCCAGAATTCGTACCTCTGCAGGCTTTAATGAAGGAAAACCATTCCAACCACCCACAGACAAACTTAGTGGCATTATTATTATTGTTGTTGGTTTTTTACTACTATTATTATTATTATTAAAGATACTCCTACTAGCAAAGGGGTTAATACTTTTTCAAATCTTCACCCTTTAGTCCTAAGTGCGCTTTGGGGAACCGGATGAAGAAAACTCCAAATGATTTCCGGACTCACTGGAGAAGGCCACGGCTCCAAGTTGCTGCGACAGGTCCCAGGCGAGGTGCAAGGAGTCGGCGAGCACCGCGTAGCACTGCGCGCACTGGAACACCGCGCACCGCTCCGGCCGCAGCCACGACAGCCGACCAGCTCTAGACTCCTCCGCCCCAAGATCCATGGGGTCAACGGGCGAGGACCCCTTCACCACTTGCGTGTCCCACTCTAAGGAAGTCGCTGAAGAATGGTCGCCAGTTGACTTCTTAGCACCACGGTTACAAACATCTCCATGCTGCAATCTTGCATAAATAGACGGATGCCTACGAGGCCGGTTCGCCATTTTCCTGCGGTCCCCGCCTCCGTTTCGAATAGCCAGAAGTCTCCGCCCAAGCGTGCTCATTGGACGTCGCGTCTCGGGGACGAACACACCTCACAAACCGGTTCACGCAGGGAGGGCTGGGAAAGAGCGTGCCTTTGTGGGAGGAAACACCCTTTCTATTGGCTAATGCCAAGAAAATCTGCCTTTTTTAACCAATGGAAATACAGGATTCTTAATTTAAACTGACCGGGAGCTTGTTTGGTCAACGTTTAGAGTGGCGCCAGAGTTTTGAACGGTGATCAGCGATTTGTGGACGAAGCTGTCCGTGGTCACCTGGATTGCAGTTCGCAATGACTGCCCACGTCTTGGAGGACCTGGATTCCTTCAAGTACAGTGACCTGCAGAACTTGGCCAAGAGTTTGGGCCTCCGGGCTAACCTGAAGGTACGGTGCAGGTGCAGGCCTTTGGGGATGCGGGTGGGATGAGGGCTACCTGGGGAAGGCGGGGAGGCGCAGAGCGAGGCATTTAGGGATGAGGCAGCCGTGTGGCCCTTGGAGCAGTAAACATGCTTTGATTTGATTCCTAGAGGCCTTCTAACCTCCGGAAGGAAGGAGGTGAGGGAAGGAAAAAACCAAACCCATTGCGGTCTAGTAGATAGATTCTCACTCCGAGCAACTCTGCAGGACAATAGAACCGCCCCACAGGGTTTCCAAGGGTGTCAATCTTTATGGTAGCTGACTGGCATATCTCCTGGGAGTAACTGGTTGTGTTTGAGCTGAACTTTTAATCTTTCATTTTAGCAGCGGTGCACTTAATCACCGGGCCGCTAAGACGCCAAGCAAATCTGAAGAGGGGCCATAATTTTCAACAGATTTGGAGCTTCTAGAGCTCGCAGGCAGATTTGGCTTGATTTTATCGGAAGTACTCTGTGAAACTTCCTACAAGAGAGGCGCCCAAAACCTGAAAAATGCTAGTTAAGTGATAGTCTGTTGCCAAAATAATTATACCTGCTCTTGAAAACTCCAGACAGTAATTCTAGAAATTGTAGCCGTGCCCATACTCTCTTTTCCTAAAAAAAAGATTGCAAGGACTTCCAAGTACAAAAAGCAAGGACGTGCCAGTTTAAAGTTAAAGTGTGCCTGATTCAATCACGGTCTTTTCAATTACTTCCCATGCATTGGACAATGAGTAAGGATTGCAACTGGTAAGAAAGCAATTAAAAATATTTTTAAATGAAGTGTTCTTTAAGTCTAGAGGGGCACAGTTTTGAGGAAAGCCTCTTTCTCAAGTTTCAATGCTTTAACTAAACAGTCTTGGTCATTCCCTCAATTATCATAGTAATAGAGTGCAAATAACCTTGAAAGTGCTCAAAAAGCTACAGAATGAATTATGGTTCCTGGTTTCTTGGGTTGGTGGGTTTATGGTTAAATGAAGGAAGAGGAATGATAGGGCATGTCTGAGAGACCTGAAGCTTAACTGCAGGTGAAGATAAAAGAGAGAGGCAGGGATCTGATGAAGTACAGGATCCAAAGGAGGAAAGAAAGAAGGAGTACAAATGAGTCAAATTCTATCTAGATGCAGCATAGGATAAGATTGTAACCAGACAACAAAACATTGGAACAATTTGAAAAAGGCTATGTTCATGAGTACTCAGAAGTATGCCCAAGGACATTCCTTTGTTATTCAACCAACAGGCACTAAGTCTGGGAACTGATTACTTTGTCTAAACTATTTTTTAAAAACCCATTAAAATCTGTTAGTGTGATGACTGATTTAGGCAGAGTAAATACCACAGCCTGTAAGTACTACAAATCTTGAATATATATTAATATTTTTCAGGAAAAGAATTAGAATACTTAGGACATTAGTTCTATATTGAATCCCACATTTCTCTCTCTCTCTCTCTTTGTTTTTTTCTTTGCTACGTTAAAGACCTTAGAGGAGTATTGAAACACTAGCAAAATAGTAATCAATAAAAGGACGTTCACACTAAATAGGGGTTCAATTATAAAAATGTGTCCCTGGTGAGAACACCCTTACAAAGTACCAAGAGAGTATGGGCACAGCTACAATTTCTAGGAGAATTACTGTCTGGAGTTTTCAAGAGCAGGTATAATTATTTTGGCAACAGACTATCACTTAACTAGCATTTTGAAGTGGGGTTTTTTAACTAGAAAAAGCTTTAATTTATGTATTGATAGTACAGCCAGGAGCTCACTAACTTAATACTCATTTTAAAGTTATTTAAAAAGTTATCAAAATTTTACTCCTTTGACTAAAATCTTTATAGGATAAAATCTAAATAATGAGTAAATTCCACAAATTAGCCTATATGGAAAATAAATTTTAAAAGAAAAAAAAATACTAGCTCCTTCTTTTAAAATCTTTTTATTAAATAAAATGAAAGAGTCAGCTCCTCCTATTTGTTGCCACTCATATTTTTTCCCTCTCCTCCCCTTCATGCCTACACTTCTCTTCTTGCCAGCTTAGATTACAAGGACTGGCATTGTTGCCACTTTTTTCCACTACCCATTCCCATACTTAGTTGGCAAAAGCCCAAGCCTGATTAAACTCAGCTGTGCTTAATCCTTTCCTTGCCTGTATCTAAGCAGCTGACTCAGACTGGAAGAGGAAAAATTACCTAATTTTGTTGATTAAACATCATTTAAACATATTACCTTATACCCTAAAATCAGCATGTGATTTTAGTACATATCCTTGGTAGTCATTAACTCTTCCACTCTTGAGGTCAATTCTTGTTGTGTGTCATTGAGTCATGGGAACTGACCCTCTAAGAGGTTTTCAGAGGCAGTAAATTGTGTGGGAGATTGCCCATCTTTCTCCCACAGAGTGGAGCAGCAAGTGGTTTTGAGTTGCATGCCTTTGGATTGGCAGAACAACTCCTCACCCACGAGAACAGCAGAGTTCTGAACTGAAGAGGACAATTTTTGTGTACCATCAACCCATGAGTTGGAACCAACCCATAGCTGACCCTACAGCAGATTTTCAGAGGTTGTAAATCATAAGGGAGGAGATTGCCCATTCTTCTGCAAAGCAGCTGGTGGATTAGAATGCATGACTTTGGAACTGCAGTGCAGCTTCTTACCACGAAGCCACCAGAGTTCTGAAATCCTATTGGATAAATAGTTGTACTACCAAAGAGGACACTTAACTTATAGTATTTTGCCTCAAATTGGCTCTCATCTCTTATTAATGCTGTTTTCCTTGTATATACTGACCTTTCTTCTGGGCTGCCTCTGGATGGGCTCAAAAATCCTACCTTTCAGTTAGCAACCAAATACGGTAGTCATTTACGCTATTCATAGACTTTGTCTAGAACTTGTTACGTGACATCAAATTGGCTCCCATTCATAGCTTCTTTATGTGCTGTACAACAGAAAGAAATCCTGTAAGACTGCTATCTAGCCAACTGACTAAGATATTCATGACTATACCTATTTGTAGAAAAGTGATAGGATAGATTGCAAAAATTGTCAATATCCATAATGGTACATAAAAGTATACTAAAGATAATTCTAAAAATTGCAATACTACCTCAACAGTTTAACTGTCAGAAATTCAGGAGATGTAGCAGGAGGGATATCATTACTGATGTCAGGAGGAAACCAGAAAGATATTTACCTGTGTTGTTTTGACTATGCAGATACATTTGACAGTGCAGATCATCATGAACTTTAGAAAACATAGTGAATAATAGAAATTCTAGAACAATTAATTGTGTTCATGCAGAACTTATTCATAAACCAAGAGGTAGCAGTTCAAACAGAATAAGAGTATACTGATTGGTTTAAAATCAGGAAAGGTATGCCTCAGGGCTATATGTTTTCATTGTTCTTATTCTGAATCCTGAGCAAACAATCTGAGAAGCTGCCACAGGCTGCTCCAGTCAGGAGGGGCTTGTAAGCCTGAGGTCTAGGGTCTCGAAGAGGGAACACGAAGGTGGGTAGAAGTTCGTCAAAGGGACAATGAAAGAACACCAGACAGTCAAGTGATCTTGATGATTTTAATTCTAAGTCATTCTAATTCTCCTTCTTCTTTCTTCCTTTTTTCTTTCCTTTTTCCTGCTTATTACATTTGACATGATACATTTATATCCCATTTTTACAATTAGGGGCTTAATCAACAGCCAGAAAAACAACAAAAGTAAGAATAAAGTTTACATTCTTTTCTTGCACACAGCTATTTTTTATGGTCATGGTTCCTTGGTAATTGAAGAGCATGGAAAGCTATTCTTTATGGTCACGGTTCCTTGGTAATTGGAGAGCTTGCTAGACAATGGCTTTTTCCTTCAACATTTTCTTTTTAAACCTGTTTTTTTTTTCAAACTGTTTTTAAACCTGATCTTCAACTTGTTTAGGTTACAAAGTTACAAAGTAAAAAAGTTACATTTTAAATTTAAGCTGATACATTTTACATTTTTAGCTGAATTTACAATATTATTTATTTCCATTCAAAAGACAACACTTTTACACTTTCTAGGGGTGATCACTATCTCAATAAGGGGGTTTAGGTTTATACAAAGGATGTTTTGGGTCATAATATTGCCTAAATTCATCATCCCAACCTTGTGTCTCTTGATCTATTTTACCACCTATACCTCGCATAACATCTTTCTTTTGGTCACTTTCAAACCTTTTGAAAAATATATCCCAAGACACAAAACCATCAGGGTGTTTTGCATTAAATTCATTATATTCTCCAGTATATGGAAGAGGTTTATCTGTAGGCTTTGGAATTCTGTAAGGGCCTTTCCCAATAGAGGGCTGCCCAAACAACCATTACCTAATAGATAAACAATTCTTCCACTTGATGTTCTCATGGTGGGGGGCAAGGGTTTGATTTTATTCTTTGAAGGAGTTTTAGTAATGCTAAAAGAACCTGAGGTAATGTTTGCGTATTAAAGTCGTCACCTCCATTTAGTTCTTTCCTGGAAACATTTAACAAACTTTTAGTAGGAACACTTTGTGTAAAAAACACAGCCTTTTTTTCCCTATCCCACATAGAAAACATAAAGAGACAATAGAAGAGAAATTACAGAAAGGCCAAGAACCGAGAGGCTGACTTCCTTGAAGTTTTCGCCTCAATCGAGTGATTTTGTCACGCAGACTCCCTTGGAATTGGTGTGGCAGGGACATACTGACAATTTTGCTTGCTGAAAGTAAAGAGGACATGAAGCAATTACTGAGGAAAATCAAAGCCTTTCATTTGGATTACATCTCAACAGAAAGAAAACAAAAGTCTTCACAACTGGGCCAATAAGCAACTTCATGATAAGAGAGGAACTATTGAAGAAGTTGTTAAGGATTTCATTTAATTGGGTTCACAGTCAATGCCCATGGAAGCAGCAGTCAAGAAATTCAAGGATGTATTGCAGTGGAACATATCCATTACAAAAGACCTCTTTAAAATGTTACAAAGCATC